GCATAAAATGGGCGTTGGTTTGGTTTGTTCCTAATTTCTAACCCCGACCCAGATCAGCGAGAGGGAGAGGCGACGATGGCGGCTGCCGTGGGAGATGTGGAAGTGGTGGATTTCGAGCCCGACGAAGACGATCTCATGGATGAGGAGATCGGCGCCGCTGAGGTTGACCCTTCCCCTGCCCCCAAGCTCCGATCCACCATTGCCGGCAGCGGCTCCTCGGGCCCTAGGAAGACCAAAGGCCGGGGCTTCCGCGAGGAGTCTGGGCCCGACCGTGGCAGCCACCTAGCTGCCAAGGATTTCGATTCCCTCGACTCCGATGGGGGTCCTGGTCCCCAGCGATGTATGTTTGGGAAACCCTAGTCCGATGGTTTTCGGTTCTTTTTCTTTTCGATTTCTAGGTTATGGGATTTAGATCTACGCTTATTTTTTCATCATTATGCTCCTGCTGTACTGAGCCCTGCTTTCCTGATATTTGCCCTGAGTTTGTGTCTTTTGACGGTTTATTTATTCGTTTTAATGTTGGTATGTTTGGATACGAAAGAGGCGATTTGGATTTTATCTTGGTTTGTTTTCTTGGATAATTTGACACGATTTATCATCTTCATCGCTTTCGTTCGCATTAGTAGGAGATTTGTACCTTACTCTTTGATGAAAACTAACTGGCTACTGTCTGGTCTTAAATAAACTGTTAGAACTTTATTATCAGCATAAGAACAACCTGGAGACGGAGTCTGCAAATTGGGTAGTTAAATGCTTGATTGGCCGATATAGTATGTACAGGAGTTATCATCTTAAACTTCTACCTCATTATGTCCGTATGTATTTAGATCCATATAGGGCTTGAACATCTTTATTTGTTCTGTTATTGAGGCCTTGACAGCGCATTTAGGTGTTGAAATCTATGGTGACCAAAAGAAATTTGAAGAAAACTTTTCACTAAGAAAGCATTATGTGTTGGAAGAGTTATAACAGTATAGGCAATAGGCATGCATGGAGGCCCTGTTCATGTGGCTTTCTTATCCAATTCCATTCTTGGCCCTCGCCTGTGTTTCAACTTAAGATTGGTCAAAACCTCAAATTGTGATTGATACAAGTTGTGCGTGCTGGATTTCTTTAATGATTAAAAAGCTGTCATTAGTTTCTTACTGAAGGATCAATTCGTAAAAAGGTTGTCATGAAAGCACAATTGATAGTAGTTAAGTATGCATCATTTCAAACCCTAAATTATAATATTTCAGATCTTGGAATGTCGTTTTTTGGGTAAGGTAAAGCTTGTCAGTGTTGTATAATATTGACAAATGAAAGGTTAGATGCCATACTTTATTGACAAATGAAAGGTTAAATTTCATAAAAAATAGTGATGATGGATGCCATACTTTATAGTTCTACATTAACATGAAGAAAACCAGATTATTGGGATGAAATAGCAAGAAAATTGAAATACAAGAGGTAATGGAATATGACAGATATGTGAGTGACAAGATAGCACCCAAGTAGCCAAAAAAGAGATAAGATTCGTTAATTTCTTTTCACCATAATTGAGTATTTTATAATTTTTTAGAAAATATACAAATAGTGAACGAGATCAGAAAGAGAAATAGGGCTGCCCTCTGGCCTCTTAACTCGAATATCATCCAGTTTGTGTGGTTAAGTTGTTTTTGTGCGTTATAATCAATTTAAAGCTTCTATGGTCTTCTAATTAAACCTTGTGTAGCATTAAATTATTAATCAGCAGTGCAAATGACTTGAAATTATTGCTATGTTGGATAAGTTGTCTTGATTTTATTGATTATAAATGTTTTAATCTCTGTTGTTCATCACTTTAAACTTGTTAAAATTGAAAATAAATATCTTTCAACCAAATTGAGGACTTATGAGATGATTTTAAGGCCATATGTGTTTGTCAATCACATCAATGGAAGATTCGATAAGCCACAATATTATGTGGCATGATGTCGGTTGAGTTAAAGGATGGCCAAGTTTGGTGTGTGTATTATGTATGAGACAGTGCCATGTCATGCTGCTTTGTTTGAAGTCAATCTGGTCGCAGGTCCAATTGCATTAGTTGTACATTGGCATGCATCTTTGTTTTTTTCTTCTCATTATGTTATGTGCTTAGTGCCATGTTTATAACTTGGTTCACTATTCAAGTTGCATATGTCAAAATATCACTGCATATGTATAAGTACAAGTCTTTTGGCAGAAAGAAATAAGAGAGTGGGATATTTAAGGTGGAAGATTTCTAAGTGTGAATAATGTTCCACGAGAAATCAGGATCCCGACTATTTTGAATCCCTAGATTGTAGAATGTAGATTTTGTTTGTTTGTGTGTGTGTGTGTATGTTTATTTATTTATTTATTTATTTATTTTTACTTTTGACAATTTATTACTTTTGAAATGGTACATTTTCTTATACTGTCCAGTAGAAGTTTAGTAGGACACTGTAAACCAAGTTAAATATATAAGCTTGAGTTTGTTGTGCAGCATAATTTGCTGATTTCTTTAATAGAAAAGAAAGTTTCAGCTGGTTATCAGTGTCAACGTCGTTGACATACTGCAACAACTTAAGATAATATGTTTGTGATTTATTAAAAGTTGGGTAACATATTATATTTTATATAATCCTGCTGATGCCAGTGACAATAGTTTGTTTGTAGTTATTGCATTTTGATAAGCATGATATTGTGGGGTTAAGAAGATTTAATGCTTGCTGAAAATTCTTCGTTGTGGTTTTCATTTGATGTTTGCTTATGAGGTTATTTGTCTCTTACAAGATATCTATTGGAAGGTTCTTCTTACTGTTTCCTTGTTTGCTGCTTAGGCTACAAGGTTACTATTTTAAGTTGCATTTATTTGCTACATTTTGGTTCGATAAAGAATATCTAATAACTTATGCACATTGGAAGTTTGCCAAAGGAGCTGTATTTTATTTTTCAAATAATGTTACAGCAGATTGATGTTATCAAAGCTGAACAATGTCGCCGATAACAGGCTCATATAAAGATTTTCATAGGATGATTCTGTTGTTGGAAATTGTATATGATCATCACACTTTTTAATGTGACAGCTATTGAGGGATGGATTGTGCTAGTAACTGGAGTTCATGAAGAGGCGCAAGAAGATGATCTGCACAATGCCTTTCGTGAATTTGGCCAGGTTAAAAACTTGCATCTGAATCTTGACCGTCGCACTGGATTTGTGAAGGTAGGGAAACTAGTTAAAACTGTCATTTTCTAGGCACTTATTTTCTTTTCCAATTGTTTTCATGTAACCTTTTTCTTGAATATATTTTTTTCTTTTAAGATTATTAGAAATAATTGTGCTTAGTCACTATTTGGTCTTTTTCTATTTGTAGTTGTGGAATACAATGCTTCTCTAGACATAATTTTTAATTTGCAGATGTTATATTTGGTCATGTTATCCATCCATAATCTTTTGATTCAACTATATCATTTTTCAATGAAGGGAGAGTGGCATTAATCAATTTAGTAGCTTTAATGGGGTCGTTCAGTGAGATAATTTCTTTTACATGCAAGATATGGGAGATCAATATATGGAGACTTGCAGATAAATTAGTGAAGTGTTTGTTAAGCTTGGGGTTGAGTGTCACATTCCCATGGTTGCTGCTTAGGCATTGTGTTGCACAAAGAATGGTTGAGCACCATTTTGGAATTTGGATACAAAAGCATACCAAACTAGGATTCATAGCTCAAATCACAGTTCTAGAGGGATATGAGGATCTTTGTAAATATGGGATATATCTGTTGACAACCCTAAACAAGTTGATGTTGTCTCGTCCTAGACATATTGCTGACTTTGGGAGAGTCACACATCAGTAAGATAATCTCGATAAATTGATGATTGTGGTGTTGGTATGTGTGCATCATATGGCTTCTGATGCTATTCTGACCATATAAGGAAAGCTGTGGAAAATTTGGCATGTGTGCTAGAACTATCTATAGGGGTTGCTTCTAGGTTGACTAGGAATGGTCTGTATGGCTAGTTTATTGGGTACAGGTGTCAGACTTGATCGTAGTCATCTAGTGTAGGAAATATGGTTAGTTACTGTTTTCTGTTTGATGTTTGAGTGCATACCATGTTAGGGATGTGAAATTCTTAATGTAGCCCATATACTCCACATTTCAATAGTTGATGTTTGTGCCCCTTGTTATGTGATTCCTTATTGTTTTCCCATTCTCCGGAGCCCTTATGGGGTCTTTGAGATTGGGCAACCGGTCATTTGGTCCCGAGGCTGGTCAGTAGTTCACTGTCTCATGAGCTTAACATATTGTTTTTGAGTTATTTTGTGCAGAAACCATTATTTGTAGCTTCTTCTTTAAATAATCAAGTGGTGATTGTCAAAGATACATTTTGCAGCAGGCAATCGAAAACAAAGTGTGTATATTTCTTAATTTAGGAGTATGGAGAACATATCATGACACATATTTTAATCTGTTATATCATATCTTAGATTTTGCTCCTATAGAAATATCTTCTTGTTATGAAATCTCAGATATCAACTTGCAGACTTATGTGCTCTTTACATGAGACTCTGGAATGGGATGAAATTGTTGCTAACTTAGTTATACTTTAACGATGCATAACACTTGCATATATTGCCTTGATTTTCGGTGAAGCGTCATACAAAATCTTGTGGTGAATATACAAAAAACTGTGTTCTTTTTTCTGCATTCTTGGCTTTTCTCACTCCTGAAAAAAATCAAATATGTAAATATGGATTACATAATAGCACAAGTATTTATCAAGATACCTTGTTGATCAACACTGTTCCTGCTTGATCTTTTGCAGCTTTGTATGTTACAACTTGTGAGGCGGTAGTGTGTTTTTGTCTTCAAGATACTCAGTTACAAAAGAACATTTATGCACAACATTTTCTTTTTTGTATGAGTTAATGAGCTTCAAATGCTGATAATTCACAATTTTCACACAAATTCATATAATCCAACTATGGAACCACATGTCTTGTTTAGTACATTATTGTATGTACTTTTTGTTGCTTCATCTATAGAAAGCCTCATAATAGTTGGGCTTCTATATCTTGGACCTATACTCTTCTATACATTTGACAACCACCTAGTCATATGTGATCTTTTTTTTTTCATAGATGTTGTGTATGCAATCCTCTTCTTTTATTTGCTTCCTACATGTCAATGTTGATAAAATGATTATTTTTCTGTCATGTGTACTGACATCTGAACTTATCCTCAATTCTTATTCCTTTGTGTCCAATCGGTTTTTGTTGGTTTTGCCCTCCTTCTCTCAGTAATTTTAGCATAGCACAACATTAACCAGAAGGTGGATATGTGTTGCTTGAATCTATGGATCTTTTACTTGCTCACTTTTCCTTAAACTCGTATGTCAGTTATTTTACCAGAAGGTGGAGATCTTTTTTGCTAGAGAGATAATGTTACCTAGACCTATTTAACTTCTGTGTAGACACAGAAAGGAATGGCGCCTGAGATGATGATGGTGCTATATTTGATTAAAGTGTGTAATCACAATTCACAAGCACATTTATCACAAGAAAGTACCAGATATGTAAAGAATATGGTGAGTTGTAATCTATAATAACAGCGCATTGGCTTTCATAACATCTGGCTGTTATACTTATTAGTACTTCCACATTTACCAAAATATATAAAAGGAAAGATGAACAGAATGCAACAGTTGACAACTGTCTCAAGGAATAACAATTGGAAAAAAAGAAAACCAAAGGGGAATAGGGCCGGTACCAGGGTAGCAGGAAATAAGAAATTAAGGCAGAATAAAAGGCCTGGGACAGTGATAATGGAAGATGGAAGACAAGCGATTGAAGAACTAAGACCAAGGTTTAGGGACTAGCTAGTAGGAAGAGGAGCAGTGAAACACAAGAAAGAAAGACCTCAAACAGCAGCAAGGTTGCATTTCTTGAGAGGCTAGAAAGACTAGACTTTTGTTTGATTTATAATTGTTGATTATCAGACTTACACAGCTCATTGTTGTAGATTAACAGACTTTTTACTTTTACCCAACAATTATTTGTTGGCAACTCTTCTTGTTCCTTAGGGCAAGGATTGCAAATTGGTCGAGTTGTTTAAGCTAAATAATTGCTAGGTTATAGTTGCATGTGAAAGTTGATCATAGTTAATCCCTTATAATGTGTAGAGGTTTGCATTATGTCACATTATTGGTTGGGTCCTGTAGATGGTCAAACCTGTTAATAGTTATTTTTCATGGTCTAGCCTTATATGCTTATTAAAGGGCATGTGAGTTATTCTAAATTGTTCGATGAATTAGGTGCAAGTCCATGTAATGAAGTCATATCCAAATTAGACTTCTGTAGAGCAAACCATGATTGAATCAGCTTGCATTCTACTGTACCAACATGTCTTATCTTATGTGCCAGAAGTGTGTTCTATTAAGAAATCATACATAAGTAGTAAATCTTTAATTAGTAAATTTATTAAATATTTTCCTTTGTGTCTGCAGTTTAATTATTTAAAAATGTGCATTATATATTGCTATTTATGTTTTTTATTTTGGTTAGAATTCTTTTATATGTTACAATTTTGATTTTTCCACTTATTTAGGGTTATGCCCTGATTGAATATGAGAACTTTGAGGAAGCACAAGCTGCAATTGCATCACTTAATGGATCTGAACTCCTTACCCAAACAATTTATGTTGATTGGGCATTTAGCAAAGGCCCTATCAGGCGGAGAAACACAAGGAGAAGGTAATATTATGTATACAAACACTTTTTGTGCTTATATATCATGTTTAAGTAAACTAGACCTTTAAATGGCTTTTTGTCAGGAAACGTAATATAGCATGATTTTAGTTTTAGATTGGGTACTTTAGATATCTCAATGCTGATGTTTTTAAAGAGCCAAAGTGAGTGAAAAAAATTCCTAGTATGACTAGACCCACCATAGTACGCATTGATCAGCCAAAGTTGCAGGTGTTGTAGTTTCTATCAAGAACTTATTCAACCAATTCTTCAAAAATCATCAGGACTCCCATAGTTCTAATAATCATCATATGTGTTGTTACTCCATATGAAAGTTGTCTCTCTTTCCACAGATCCCCACGAGCTCATCGTTCAAGGAGCCCGCCCAGGAGAAGATACTGAAGCTGCCTACTTTTCCCCATCAGCGCGTGATTTTTGGATAGCTGGCTCCTTCCAGTGTACCTCAAGGCCCATGAGAACTTGTTGGGGAAGCCTATGGCGCAAGAGTAAGCAGCAGTAGGTTGTACCATCAACAGTTGGGAAGTTTTTATCTAACGCTTGCTATGCCTCTGCTTTAAAGACTCCGTTTGAACAGATCGAGTGGTGTTAAATGTTTTCTGTTTAATGCTTGCATTGGCTAATTTGAGGATTTCTGCTGCGTTATCTTGCACAATTAACACAGTTTATGCCATCTGTGATTTGGTTGTGACCAAGTTTCTTATTCAGAAGTTTTGGATTTGGATTGGAACTGATGAATCATTTTTGCCTCCTTTGCTGTGTTGATAGTGTTAGTGGATCGGTTTGATAGTTTCACTGCTCTACATTGTGTCTTGAAAGGAAGTTACGTACATGGTTGATTAGAATCGACGTATCTCGGGCTCGGGCCAGTGCAGGCAATAAGCGTTTGACAGAACCATGTTAATACGGGATCTGTCTGCCTCGGGTATAGATTAGGACACTTGACAACAGGTCGAAAGTATCTCGGTTCGAAAAATTAAAAAAATGGAATAGTTTTATTTTAACATAATTATTTGTAAGCAAAATTAAAAAAGTAATCTTCTTAGTCGACATTCTAGAGATATATTTAAATAGAAGTTTTTTTTTTTTAATATCATTTGAGAACTTAGGTATTATAGTCAGAACGCGATAAATATTTTAGGTATTTTTATATTTTAAATTCAAGAAAATAATTAAGGACCATGGTTATCAATCATTAATAACAGGTAAACTTTGGAAGGATGAATTTGTATTTTCCTTAGTGTGGAAGGCTTAAATCGGCGGTTGTGAAATGTAGCTTCATTTCTATAAATATCCATAAGGTCCGAAGAGATAGTGGTATAAGGTTGTGGAGTATTTTAGAATTATTATGCCCTCTTGTAGCCAAGAACCTAGGAACCATGAAGGCAAACATCTAGAACTATAGTTAATGGTTTGTCGTAAGAGTTGACAAAATGCATTCGCTACGTAGCATTCAAAAAGACAATGTTTAGGTGAGCCTTTGAAAAGTTTGCAAATACGTACCATTCAATTTGGCTTTGAAGAATAAGTGAAAGTAGTGGCCGAGTTTGGGAGTTTATTCGAAAATAATCTTTACAGAAAGGTTTAACCTTAGCGGTAACTAAAAGGTTTTATAATAACTTTCAATTAAGTCAAAGATCCATATTATATAAGTATTACTTGTCGAAAGAGAGCCGAAAGGGTTTAGGCTCCATATTAAATAATCTTAATAGGAGATGACACAAATAAATTTGATTCTATCTAAAGCATAAAGTGAAGAAGAGACCGAAGAATGTTGATGACTCAGTTTGTAAAGGTTATTTTACCAGCTTGGGATATCATTTGTTTATACCAATCTTTAATTTTAATAAGGGTTTTATCTAACAGAATATTTTGATAACGTTGAGAGAGAGTCTACCAATGAAAAGAAATGAGCCAAGATGCTTGAACGGTTGGCTATCATTGAAAATACAAAGAGAATTAATAGAAGGATCATATTTTTCTCAAAAGAATATATTAGTCTTGTGAGAGTTAATATTTAAACACGGAAAGCTATTAAAAATATTAAGAACGGTAGACATATTAGAGCAAGATTTATAGTTATCTTTGAAGGCATGGAGTAGATCGTCCACAATGTCATGCCCCGAGTTTGATGTGTTAATTGGCCTATTAACTTTGTTTAGTCTTATGGGCTAACAAAAATATTTAAGTTGAAGTTAATAATAATACACTCATCAGACTCTTATAAGTCAATCTTAATCTTACCAACTTCCGATATAGGACTAATCACTAATCAGGGTGTTACAATCTCTCCTACTCAAAGGTTTGATATCCTCGTCAGACCCAACATAACCAAGGGTGTTACAGTCGATAAACATAATATGTAAGACTTTTACTCCTTTTAAGTTGAAAAAAAATAGAAAAAATAAAACTTATTAAACTAGTCAGATAATTTAGGATGAAAGCCAATCTCCATTGCCTACCTCCTCTATAAGTATTGAATCAATTAATATCATTGTTAAGGTAAGAATAGAAAGGTCATAATCCAATCAATCAATTTCATTAGAAAATTGAAGAATATGAGAATGTTTTTAATAAAAATGAGAGGTTTTTAGTTTGATATGGAATAATCATGAGAATATTGTTATGAATATTTTTATTTAGGATCGACGAGTAATAAGGAAGACTATAAATTTTCCAACAAAAAAAGAAGAAAATCTGACTCCAATACTCTGCATGTCAAAAAGACGACCATTAGATTAGCAAATACAAGACAAACAAATCAACTATAAATTTGGCTTAAAATAATATCTTTATAAGAATTAGGAATACTTGTTTAGTACTCCCTCTACTTGTAGTTTATAGAATTTCCGTTACTGATGAAAAGAATAGAAGATAAGAACAATTATTGAAGAAGCTTTATTGAAGTAATTTTAGTTTGAATAGTAGAGAGATTTTCTCGTATAGTTGGAAAAATCTTATCTTCTATCAGTTAACTCGTTTCGCATGTCATCCTTGTCATCTCGTGTTCTTCAACTCCATCCCATTTACTCCTCACATTCTTAGAACCCAACTACAGTTTGTTCTTCCTCAAGAATTCCCACATACGTACTGAGGTGTGAAAAGATTATTTTCAGAGTAATCGACGATGAATGAGCCGAGCAATCGATGAGCTAACGAATGGATTGCTCTCCTCCTCCTCCTCCTCCTCCTCTTTTGGCAGGAAGGATATATTATTGATTCCGCTCACCACCGACTGCCACACCTCACGATCGATCATTCCAAAGAACAATCGAAACGTCGCATGTCACAAACAATCGAGTTCGAGTGGTTAGAATACTGGAACGATGATGCCAGCAGCCAAGTACAATATATAAAATGAGCTGATAACAAGGCTTAGGTCAGTTAAACGCATCGAGGCATAAGACCCTAAGTTTCCATCTGATTCCAGACATCCTACCTAAGAAGCCTGCAGATGTTTCAGGTTTAGATCGTCGCTGTAAGATTGATATATGGAAGCAGTTCGTAGCAGCCGATGGTTGGTCGTGGACAACCTAAGTAAGTCTCTACTGATGAAGTGGAGAGCTCCTATCAAGACCGATCGACGATGGCTACCTTAGAATAAAAACTGGGCCAAGTGGACGAAGGACATGGACAAGAACGCACGAACAAGATGGTAAGTAGCCAATTTGCTATACTAAAGCATATCCCGATTCCCAACACCTGCGTCCGCAAGTACAGCATTTTGTGGAACTGCCAAGAGCACAACTCCAACGCGTCATTGCCATATCCTTAATTTACTACGGCCATTATGGTATCTTCTGCTGCAGCATTATCGTTCGTCGTCATGCATGAACTGTGTATTGCACTCTCTGCAATTTGTCGTCCCTTTCCACGCCAACCTTGATCCGAGTCACGTATTATGATCCAAGCACTGTTTCCCTGAAGCTCATGTGTTGTGTGTGTGTGTGAAAGAGATAGAGATAGAGAGAGTGACTATAGTTTTTATTAGGGTTGATAGTATTAACGCAGAAGAGCAGTCATGGTCTACAGGGAGCTAACACAGCCAGCATATGGTAGAAGCATTGCACCGAGGAGGGGACCCAATGAATCCTCTTTCAAGTGCGGCGAGAGATGCCTCGCCTATGAGTTGAGCTCAACACGTGAGACGCTCTCGACCATTGTCGCTCCCTCTCGCATTACGTCAACCACAACATAATTGCGGCACCTCCGTCTTCACCAATCACTGAGAACAATGTTGTGAGGCGCCCCACAAACAACGCAAAAAGTAGTACGTCGTGAGATGGGTCTTTTCATCATCATTTTGTCTTTTGTTTTTCTTTTTTGGATAAAAGTTCACTTTTTCCATACAAATAAGACAAAAAGAACAAAACATGCGGCTGTCACCTTTTTCTTATTTGTACGAGAAAAGTCGAACATATATTCTTTCCATTGATGCTTACGTTATAGCCGGGAATATATGTAGCTATTGCATAATTGCTTTCTGAATAACTAAAATCGAAATATATTCCATCAGCGGAAAAGAGATCAGTAGAGGCGATGGTTTATGCTATGTTGTGAAGTCGTAAGCTAGTCAATAAGTGTTATGATAGCTAAAAGTCATGATAGGGTCTAGATTCACCCTACTACTCCCACCCCCATTTGTTGTTAGTCAATCACCCATTTGTTGTTAGTCAATCATGTTTGCTATAGTTCAGTTGTTACCTTTTATACAATAAGTTGTCATAATAATAAGACAAACGATTAATTTTAGTCATCGTTCATGATAATTGTATTTTTTTTTTGTTTCTGGAATATTGCACCATTTTTATTGTTTGAAATTGTATTGGTTTCTCCTATCATAAGAAATGAAAATTTCTGATACACTTAGTGAGTACAATTGTTTACTTATTTGGGACAAGAGAGAGAGAGAGAGGAAAAACACACACAGCTGACTTTTGACAATCCAACATCATCAAACTTTTAGCATAAATTCTAGCCATTGTTAATGGATGATTTGTCCACAATAGTCTTAGTGGGGGAGACGCGTCCATGACGGCGCGGCCGCCATACTAAAGTGAACATCTAAGATCTTGGAATGAGGTTGCAATTTATAACCCCTACAGGGAATTGATTTAATGGTCCACTTGAGGGTTTATTTTTTTTTATTTTTAATCCCAAATCAAATCCAACTATCTAACGAATATTTAAGATATTCTTAAGATATCATTTATATTTTTTTTTAATTGATATGAGGATCCTAACATAATATTATGATACATTATCATCCACGTGGATAATAACTTACTTGACATCCATTTTCACCATGTATACATCCTTCTGTCAAGTCAAGTCAGTAGTTTTATGACATATCGTTATCATCATGATATATCACGATCATTATTCATTGCTAATTTTATGGATTAGAAAAATCCATAAACTCGGTTGATATCATCTTTGGCAACCTCCTCAAGTTAAAATAGTTAAGAATCTCTCAAATTATTCCATTGTGGGCTACATTCATCCTATGATAGGATTTTCCATAGTGAATATAAATCAAAATAAAGATATATATTTTTTTTATTATGCGTTATTATATATGTGTACATATACAAATAATATTCTTTTGTTGCATTAGATGAGGGAAAAACTACGGTGATTAGAAATATAAGGTGAGAAAGCGGTAATATTAGGGGGATGGATCTCATCATCGTAGCTACGGTGGA